AATAATGGTAATAATAATAATAATAATAATAATAATAATAATAATAATAATAATAATAATAATAATAATAATAACAATAATAATAATAATAATAATAATAATAACAACAACAATAATAGTAATAGTAATAATAATGATATTAATAATAGTAACAATGATAACAATAATAACAATAACAATTATAATAACAATTATAATAACAATAATAATGGCAATGATATCAATGACAATGATAATAACATTGTTAATAATTATTATTATAATATTAACAAGATTAATAACAATAATGATAATAGCAATGATAATAATAGTAATAATATTAATAATAATAATAATAATAATAATAATAATAATGATAATAATAATAATAGTAATAATAGTAATAATAATAATAATAATAATAATAATAATAATAATGATAATAATAATAACAATAACAATAATAACAATAATAATAATAATAATAATAGTAATGATAGCAATAATATTAATAACATTAGATAATCACCGTCATATCATCACTATTATCATTAGTAGTAGTGGAAGTAGTATCAGTATCATTATTGTTATTGTTGTTATTATTACTGTCATCCTTATTATTAACATTATTACTATTAGCATAATCATTAACATTAGTGTCATTATAATCATTATCGTCATTATTTTTATCATTATTATTATTATAATAATAATGATAATTATAATTATTATTATTATTATTATTATTATTATTATTATTATTATTATTATTATCATTATCATTATTATTATCTTTATTATTATTATTATTATTATTATTATTATCATTATTATTATTATTATTATTATTATTATCATTATTATCATTATTATTATTATTATTATTTAGTTATTATTATTATTATTATTTAGTTATTATTTAGTATTATTATCATTATCTTATTTTTATTATTATTATTACTATTATTGTTATTATCATTATTATTATTATTATTATTATCATTATCATCATCATCATAACCATTATTATTGTAATTTTTATTATCTTTATTATTATCATTATATATTGTCATCATCATTATTATTTTTCATTACTGTTATCATTGTTATTATCATCATTATTATTATTATCATTATCATTATATCATTATTATCATTATTAATATCATTATTAATATGAATATTATTATTATTATTATTATTATCATTATTATTATTACTAGTATTATTAATATTACTAGTATTATCATCATTATTATTGTTATTACTATTATTATTATTATGACAATTACTGGTATTATCAATATAATTATTGCTGTTGTTATTACTATTATTATAATTATCATTACTGTAATTGTGTTTGTTGTTGTTTTTTATTATTATTATATTTTTTTCTTTATCATCATTATGATCATTATCACTATTATCATTATCATTGTTATTATTATTGTTATTATTATCATTAGTAGTAGCAGTATTACTACTAATACCAATACTATAATTATTATCATTATCATTAAGTTATAATTTTCATTATTATTATCATAATTATTACTATTACTATTGTTATCATTATCGTTATTATTATCATTATTTTTTATTATTATTATCGTTCTTATCATTGTTATTTTTATTATCATCATTATTATTATTATTATTATCATTACTATCATTATTATAATTACAATTATAGGGTGCCATAGGTTCTCCAAAAGCCTTTAATAGTTCAGCTGGGATGCCACAAATACCTGCTGCTTTACCACTGTTCAGCTTGGAGATCTCCCCATTGACTTCAGTCAGGGAGGGTGGATCCTCGCTGATGGGTGGGTCTGGCAGAGGAATCTCAACATTACCGCATCCAGGTTAACTGTTGGTGGATCAACCTGATACAACTGCTCTGAGATTATCTGGCCACTTGCTGAGCGGACTGCAGTCGTCTGTGAGGAGGCAGTGCGAAGGTCATTTACTAGGAAATGGCTTTCGACCTCCTCTGCAAGATTCCTGATACACTATTCCTTGCAGGTGCAAGTTGCGATCCCCTGACAATCGAGCCGCACGACAAGCATCTGTGGCTTCCAGTGTCTCCTGCGTGATGGAATTCTGTTTTGCTCTTGGGCGTTCACTAATCGATTTTTGGGATGCACCAAGCGTTTCACGCTTTGAAAGTGTCCCGCAGAAGAACAGGGTCCGCCAGGCCCTCGAGTGCTGTGAAACGACCAGAGATAGCCTCGGCAAACCCCCGGGCACATTCATCCTCCCTCAATCTGTCCACATGAAACACCCTAGGGTATTCATTTGGGCGACGGGGGGTTCTAAAGTAGACCCGGAGAGTAGCCACAACTAATCAATGATCATTTCCACAGAACTCGGCGCTTCGATACACCCTGCAGTTCTGGAGGATCCTCCATCGAGTGCTAACGAGGATGTGGTCAACTTCCTTGGTCACACTACCCGTATCGCTGTATCAAGTTCAACGATGCGGGTCAGAACGCTGATACCAGGAACCAGAAGTCCTCAATTTCTGGGACCTAGCAAAGTCACGGAAAAGGAGACTATTCTCGCTGCCAGCATCAGCTCCTGAGCCATGAAGACAGACATCTCGTAGCCAGCTTGATCGCATCCAGATACCGCATTGAAGTCACCCAGAACAATACGAATATCTCGCCGAGGACAGCTGTCTGTCACTGATGCAAGTTTGGCGTAAAACATCTCTTTCACCTCTAGTTTATATACATCCGTAGGTCGTCCATAATGAAGAGATAATCAATGCTCCTATTTCCGATCTTGTATCTGTAGACAGTGTCGTTGAGTTCGTGTGATAAAGGGAACATAGCCAGGTCAAAGAGTAAGGAAGAGAGAATGTCCCCTTGGAAGACACCACAAGTGATGTCGAAAGGTGGGATAAGAATAGATTTATTTTCCATAATTTCAAAGTTGGTAATAACTGGGGATACATTAAACATTTCAAGAGATTTCAGAATCCAATTATGGGTCACACTCTCGAAGGCCTTACGATAACCAATCCAAACCTTACTCAAACTACGATGCTTTCCTTGACTGGCAGTTCTCAATTATCATTTTATTAATTACTAATTGGTCTTTACAAGCGTAGGATGCTCTCCTGTGTCCTTTCTATTCACCAGGAAACAAGTTACTGTCAAAGAAGGTATAGATGTGGTCTGTCAAAAGGGATGTTGTGCTGAGACAGGTTATTGGCCTATTGTTTTTAGGGTTTTTAGTGTCTGATGTCTTGGTATGTATGTAACACCCTGACATCCGTTGAGAGTGCTTCTAACCTCTTCAGTTGTAATGTCATCCCAAGTTTGCTCTGGGAGGGTGGCATTCTGAACTTCTGCGTTATTTATCCACCCAGCTTCTAGTTTGCTTGTTTTATCACTATTCCAATGTTTTTTTTTTGTTTTGTTTTGTTTTGTTTTTCAAAATCTTTCAATCTTTTCAATGTCTGGACTGTCTATAACGTGATTGTTTCTTTACGCACTTCCCTATAATAGTTCTTAGCATCAGATTTTAAAACCTGTTTTTTCCTGTAAAATTTTGATCGGTTCTTAAACCCTTTGAGTTTTCAATTGAATCTTTTTGCTTAGTGACTTCTTGAGTTTCCAGAAAGTTATCACTATTCATCTTATATTTCCTCTTGAGCCTCGTAGATGTCCGGCCTTGAACTCTTAACACGTCTTTGTAACTCAATAAGAATCGATATTTCAACTCTCATTTGCTTTATTTCTTTTCCATCTTTTCTTGCCAGGACGGTTCCTTCCTTTTCGTCTGCTTTACTCGCTTTTTATTAGAACACTTTAAGGTGATCAAATTAGCTGTCGCTTACAGGATCTTATATCATTACTATCATTGTTATTATTATTGTTATTATGTTTTTTGTTATTATTATTATCATTATTATTATTATTATTATTATTATTATCATTGTTATTATTGTTGTTATTATTGTTATTATTATTATTATTATTATTATTATTATTATTATTATCATTATCATTGTTATTATTATTATTATTATTATTATTATTATTATTATTATTATTATTATTATTATTATCATTTTTATCAGGACCATTATTGTTATTGTTATATTTGTTATCATTATTATTATCATCATCATTATCATAATCAATTTTATTATCATCATCATTATTATTGTTATCATTAATTTGATTATTATAATTATTGTTATTGTTACTGCTATCATTATCATTATTATTATCATTATCATTATCATCATCATTATCATTGGTATTAGATTTGTTGTTGTTGTTGTTATTAGAATTATTGTTATCACCATAATTATAATTATCAAAATTATTGTTATCACCATAATTATTATCAAAATTACTGTTATCATTATCAATATTGTTATATTAACATTGTTTTTTATGATTATTATTATCTTTACTATGATCATCATCATTAGTAGTAGTATCATTATCATCTTTATTGTCATTATCATCAATATTATCATTATTATTATTATCAATATTATCATTATTGTCATCATCATGATAATAGCAATAATATTATACAATATAATAATGATTATTATTATTATTATTGTCATTATGATTATTATTACTATCATTACTGTTATTACTATTATTATTAGTGTTATTACCACAATTATCACCACCATCACTTTTATCATTATTAATCATTATTGCCATTGTTATCATCATTAACATCATTATTATCATAATCATTATCATTATGACTGAACCACTAATATTATCAAAATTATAACTACTGGTATTCTTACTATTACTTTTAGTATTGTCATCATTAATATCAGTACTACATTACTTCATTACAAACATCCTAATTTAATGCTTCCACAGTCATAGTAGTTCTGTACATTTACACTATTTATTAGGAGATAGATATAGGAAACATTATGATACGGTAGTTTCATTTGACTGATAATAAGTTTAAAAATTCATTACACAACCTTTGGATTATGATGTTAGATAGGTCAGTAATACAAAGACTTATATCATAGTTTTATGTAAAATCTAGATCTGTTACTCATTGTTAATCTATTTTTTTCTTTACTTGGACTAATAAAAACATAATTATAGTTTAATATCATTGATATTAAACACTCATAACAAATTCTGAACATGATAAAAACTATCGTCCACATTAAATAATACACCTACAAATAGAGATGTACATTTTTTTGTGCATGAGTTGATGGGTGTTTTGCACGTGTATGTACATATGAAAGTGTGCTTGTGTATGTGTATCATGTACTGGTATTTGTGTCAGCAATATAAGAATCAAATCTGTGGTGTTCTTGCCTTATGCTGTCACACCTAATCAACCACCTTTGGGGTCTATGCTGCCTACAATGTCATCTGATATCTGAGATACGCTGAAGGGACACTATCAAAATGATTCAGAGGGGGTACTAATGAAAAAGTAATTATGGCAACCTTGGAAGGGAATATGGAGCACCAATAACAGGCTTTGCTTAGGGAATCAAATGCCTTTCATACAGCACTGGTATGTAGCCATAGATGCAGGCAACATATGACTATAGTGAAGCCAATGGATAGTCTCTGTAGTGCTTTGTCTCAAGATGCAAATAATTATTTCATAAATAAATAAATATATAAATATTCATATTTACATTTCTAATACACATATACACAAGACAGAAATTCAATTTCTCTCTGTGTAAGTCTGTCTATGACAATACTTACAAAATCTTTAAAAAAAATAGTCATACACTGCATTGATACAGCAATAAAGAATGTACACTCATAGCCTTTTGTCTGAGAGAGTATCTGTACAAATAAATTTCAACATTTAATATACAAATAAATTCTAACACATTAAAATATATATAACAAAATATTATTTAAAACTGTCAAAATCTAAAATTCTTGCTAGTGAACAACAATCTGTGGAAGCACCTCTCCACAACGCGCACTTATTCTAAAATCCAAGTGTTTGTCAGCACGGGTAGTACCAATATTCACAGCACACAGTGGTATCCCCATATCTACAGCGTGAAGAATAAACCTGTAAAAAAGAAAAACCTGTTTTAATCTGACTGCCCTTTCTTAGAATGATTTTTTACATGTTAAATATAGTACACAACTCTTGATTTAATTCTTGCTTACAACAATTCTAATCTGATGCCCCTATAAAAGAATGCTTATTTTAATAGGCCTGAATATTGTTTTCATTCAAATCATGAAGTACCCCAAGTATCTATAAAACTATAATATGATATATACTTTCAAAAGACTGGAGTTACAGTCCCAGTACACCTAAGTCTTACCTATACCCTGAATAAACATATAATGAGGAGCCCAATACTAGCAGGCCATCACTTTCCCTGAGTTCTTGCTTCACTCTCTCAACACGATCCTTGGGAACATTATCTCCAAAAAAGACAATATATGGTTTCATGATGCCACCACAGTGTTTGCATGGTGGTACTTGAAACTTATTAACTTCCTCCTTGAAAAGAAAAAGAGTTATTGGTGTATTTGTTAATCATCTTCCTTCTAATTTGTATCATTTGCATCCTTTTTATTACTTTAAAACAGAACAAACAAAAATGCATAGCTATTCAACCTCCACACAGAAATTCTCTCTATCTCCTTATATCACTACATATATACTTCAGACACAAGCTTACACTTTTCTTTTTACCCTGCATTCAGCCTTTCAACCAGAAAAGCAAACATAAATACACATCAACTGCTGACATTCTTAATATGCAAAATGCCTTAACTAATTACTTTATATACTGCAATCTTGGAAAAATGCAATGCAAACTACAATTAGCTTTAAAACACGTTAATTATCCAGGACTCATTGCCTATAATAAGAAGACAAACATACATACATACCTCCGAAAGCTCTACATCACCATCTGGCCGAATTTCAGATGAGTGGGAGGACATATGGGGGTTTAAGATCCGTAGCCTGGTTTGGAAGCTATGTCGGTCCACCATCTTTGAGCAGGACATACATATGACCTTAAAGGCTGTCCCTGGAGAGAGAGAGAGAGAGAGAGAGAGAGAGAGAGAGAGAGAGAGAGAGAGAGAGAGAGAGAGAGAGAGAGAGAGAGAGAGAGAGAGAGAGAGAGAGGTGAGATGTTAGTCACGTTATAGTCACAATATAAGAATGTAATCATTCTTTAAACTAACAGATTTAAATATATTTTTAGTACCATCTCCACAATAATTTACCATCTTACCATGTAATTCATGAACGTTTGTACTCCCAGCTTTGTGGTGCAAGCGATCAACATTCTGGGTTACAACACACTGAATTTTCCCTTTTTTCTCCCATTCAGCAAGAGTCAGATGAGTAATATTTGGCTGGAAAGTGGAGAACCTTGGCCATCCTATGTAATTTCTTGCCCAATAGCTTTGTCTAGCCTTTGCTGAATCCATGAAAGTCTGTGGTTAAAAAACAATTATTACTTTACTTACAATAACAACACAGTATCATAAGCCCTTCCATACACATATCTTTACTTCAAAAACCTCACTCAACTCAACAGAGAAAAGAATCTTCAGTCAATTAAAAAAAAACAATCATGCATCTTTAACTCACCTTAAACTGCACTGGACGTTTACTACTTGTAGCATAAAGACCCACACCTTCAGAGCGATAATCTGGAATACCACTCTCTGTCGATATACCTGCTCCTGTTAGCACAAATATCTTTCTGTGACTGTCAAGGAACTCTTGCATTTGATCCACAGCCCTGTTTTCACATGGGCTGTGTTTTGGAACAAAGGCATATTGCGAACAGTATCTTGTCACTTCTGAGAGTATCCTCATGTACTGCTTTCTTACAACCAGTGAATTATTCATTTCAATATATTGCAGCTAAACTAATTGATTACTTTTGAGTGCTACTTTTCAGTAATCTTTTCTGAAGTCAAATCTGAAACAAGAGAGTAAAAAAGTCTTTATTCAAGATTAGATATTGCTTATACATAGATGTACTTATAACAGTAAGTCTGTAATGATACTCAGTCAATTTAGAACTTAATAACAAAAAGTGTAGCAACCACAATATATACTGACTGTCATGTTATAAGCACTAAAAATAACAACCATTTTCTTCCTAAAATTAAGGAAATATCCAAATTTTAGGGTTTTATGAAACTTAATATAGGAATGGGGTTTAGAATGATAGCACATCATAAGGAGACACACATGCACAAAGACGGAAAGTACCGCTCTGGCCGTGGGGAATGAATGTGACAAATTTAGTGAGGCCATAAGGGTAGTTCTACTAGGAAATATTTGTAATCCATTTTGTTTTTACATTTTATTATTCCATCTCCAGTGACACAGATTTTTTTTTTATTCTTCATATTTTCTTTGATTTTTTTCTTTCTCTCATTCTTCTTTATTTTTTTTTTTGTCTGTTTTCCTTCCTTTAATGTGTGGTCAACATAACTTTCCGCATTAAAACCTATTCCACAGTGAACAACATAATAACTAAATGAAACAAGAACTTACTTTTTGCCATACGTCATCTTACACACGTAAGTATAAAGAACTGAGAAGTATAAATAACTGAGAAGATAAAAAGTTCATTTTACCTTTACAAAGGACACCTTTCCCCTGGACGAGTCGCTGTCTCTATGCTGCCTGCATCTGACGCAACCAAGGAGGAAATAATTACCCAGTCTTCTTACTCTTCTCTCTCTTCTTCATAAGTCTTATTGTCATTATCACCATTCCTCCTCCTCTTCCAGACTTCAGGTTCTTGTTGTATCACTTCCCACTAGACTACGAAAGGGGTGACGTTTCGTAATTACTACTTTTCATAAATTCTTGCCCTGACGTCAGTAGTGTGTTTCGTAACCAATGTTTACGTTCGTGGATGTCTGTCTAGCCCGCACCTACTCCTGGCGCTCTGTAGACCACCTATCATATTCTTTTCTATTAATTTAAAGGTTATCTTATGTTGAAATCTTGATATCTTCATTTTAAAAAACTCGAAAAATATACCTGCTTACACTTTAAAGACATATCTATTATAATATCTAGTCGATTGTTATATACGAGTAGGTGTGGAATAGAGCGTTTTCCTGGATGGGAATGCGGATTCACCGACTAAACAAACGGCCCAAATGCATGATCAATGTCGTTTGCCTTTAATCAAACATCAAAATAAAATAACCAGCCTTTATTTGATTCCTATTAGCTATAGTACCAACGTTTCATTATATTATAAATTATAGAAAAAGCGAGAGAGAAATGCGTGGATGGCACTGGATTTGATAATGAGTTAAGACTCCTCGCTGGAGAGGAGCGCGATCGCTTGAAATTGATACTAATATCAATGGTAGTAGTAATGATAATGATATCATTATTACAATTATCATTATTATAATTGTTAATGTTATCGTCTTAATCATCATTTTCAGTAGTAGTTGTAGTAGTAGTAATAGTACTAGTAGTTGTAGCAGTAAAAGTAGTAGCAGTAGTAGTCGTAGCAATAAGGGCGACTGATAATTAATATAATAGTTTATGGTTGTAGGATTTTGAACTAAATGACCTCTGAAACGCTTGGTATCCATACTATGAGTGGTTTCCGTAAAGGTTGACTAGAACAAGACCACTGACACAGCAATCGTGTGTCAGTGATGATAATGATGATTATAATGACGAGGATAAAAGGATAAATAAGTATGGTAATAACAATGACAAATATAAACATGATATTCATGATAATATCAATAACGGTCAATACTCTTATTATTATCAGTATCATTATTGTCACCTTCATCATCATCACCATCATCATCATCATAATATATAACTATTTTTTTGCGAATTTGAATCTATAATTTATATAAATTGTATAACTCTATTGCTACTAAATGAACACATTTATAATACTTTTTGTTGGCCACACTTATGTAACAATAATAACTGAATTAAAGAAAAAATATGTATTATCTTTTAAAATATACCATTGTAACTGTGTGGGTATCATGAAGAGATAGGTTTATCATTGCCTGTTGTATTACGCGTGTGAGAGTGTTCTTATACCCAAGGTGTCCAAAGAATGTATATGCTTGTGAGGTGTAGGAGAACACTGTTTTTATTATTACATACATGAGTTTTTGTTTGTTTGTTTCAAAACCTTTACTTAAATAGTGCGAAATGCTCGCATGTTGTGAAGCTCACTCACTAACGTGTTTTATTATTACAATTACCAATAATATTGTATTAGTGTCAGTCATTCCCCTAGACATTTATGTCTGATGACTGAGGAAAATGTGTAAAAATATATATGGGAATTCATATTTCAGTAAATTACGTAAACAGAAACAAAAAGAGGGAAATACTGCGCATTGATGCTTACTTCACGTAGTAAATTGCTGAGCAAAATTTAATTCTAAACTTTGGTGAAAAAATGTATATATAAATTTTTAAGATGAAGAAATTTAAGTATTAGATCTAATACCAGTATCATACTGCTTTAAAAAGTCTCCATAACACAAACATGAAATTGGACAATTATAAATCTATTAGAATCGCTGTTTTCTACCAGTGGAGATTTTGGTGTTCCTATTGGCTACAATTAGTTGAAAATCTGACATATTGTCACGGCTCTATGATTTAGCTCCTTTATTAGCGAAAACTGCATGACGTTTTAACTTGACAAATTTCATTACAAAGGACAGTCATTCACAACCGTATTTTGAGTTGAGAATTAAAATGAGTCGCGCTGCAACTTTTTTTCATTTCAAGATATCATATATTTGTGACTTGTTTTTAAATTCATATAGACCCAGGACCTCTTGTATTTATACGGTTAGTTCCATAGCGGAGGTTCCTTGAACCGGAAGTACGAGAGCTGACCGCTTACCAATGACCACTTCAACCGTGAAGGAATTTACAAGTGGGGCGAAGCTATCTATCGTGAAAATTGGCTTAGAAATTATCACAATTTATCCTTGTATTTTCCCACGTTGTATTCTTTTATTCATTGTGGTTGTATGGTAGCGAAGGTTACTTTACAAACAAATGTATTTCAAGTCACAATGGCAGTCCCAAAAAGATAAAACAAATGAAAATTACTGCGAATGCAACGGAAAATATTACAAAACAACAACGGAAAACCAGTGCCAGTGTACCGATTTTATCCCACCTATAATCGAGTTGCTGCCTCTGCGTATAGCTCGAAAAGGGACGTTATCTCCTTGCAGAACAATCTCTAACAGCGAAACACGAGCAAGTGCAATCCAAATGAATGACACTGTTAGTTGGCCTTCTACATCACCAAATTATTAGTCTTTTATCATTAGCATTAACTTTATTGTAACTTCTTTTTGCTACTTTTAATGTTATATTCTTACATCTTGAGTGCAGCAAGGATGTCCATAATGACCATCATTAGGTACATCTAATCACTACATTAAGTCACCAGATAGTTGATTCACTCTTCGTGGAGTCCTGGTTCTGTCTCACCTGTGTATACCTTGTCACAGCCGTCGCAAGGTATACTCTACACCTAGCCAAGAGGTCTGTTGTGGTCTGAACCTTTTTTTCCCTTATGATATCTTCTATCTTCTTTCCTGAAGCGGTACCTATCATAATTGTTAGCCCTCCAGGTGCTCTGTCAACTCCAAATACGGAATTATTATTCTGTGGGACGAATATTCAGCATTTTGAATTGAGTGTTTTCAACTTCAAGAACTATTAATATTAATCCATAGTTCTGGTAATATAATCGGTAAATGAAATTCATAAGATACAAGTTATCCTTCATATTGTCCGATGAATCTTAGAAAAACAATTATTGTTATCTTTAACAATTATTGTTATCTTATGTGTATCTTATCTAGTACCTTTGCTGTTATACTGATCATACAGTCGCAAATTTGATTAGTTAGGTCGCGAACTTTGTTTAGGT